AAAAGCAGTAAAAACAATATACAGACGATGTTTAAGTGGAATTTAAAAAAAAAAATTCACTATGTTGTTTTCCTGACATTTTCCCAGCAAAGGCAAAGGATTTTTAAAGTACATGGAGGAAACGGCAAGTAGAGTCAGCCCTCCATATCACAGGTTCCTCATCCACAGACTGAACCCACTGCAAACTGAAAATATTTGGAAAAGTACTGAAAATGTACATCCTTATTATCATTATTCCCTAAACAATACAGTGTGACAACTATTTACACAGGAAAATGTATATACCTTTTATACAAATAATATGACCTTTATAGAAGAAAGCATCCAGAAGTTTTAGTATMCAAAGGAAGTACCAGAACTATCCCTCATAGATACTGTGGGATGACTATACTGTCAATCTGGTAAAGGTGAAAACTGGGCACATCAAATATAAGACATCGTGGTACACGAGACTAGAAAGGAAGGATTATATCATATCAGTACTATACTATGCATTTGCCCTTTATAAGAAAGAAGCCATCATGGAAACAGAAAAGTAACATACATACCTTAGAAAGATTGTATGAAAGGAAAAGCAGATGATGACAGGTAACCTAGAACATTTTAAGCTTTTGTAGTAGTCCAAGTGAAATGAGCATTCACTATGACTGTAATGTAACAATAGGAGATGAATTTGAAATAAATTCAAATTCAAAATCTCATGATAAATTTGACACGGGAAAAAGAAAACTCACATTACTATGAGATGACTTATGTARAGAGAAAGTGATGCCAACAACCAAATTAGAAAAGCACTAGCTAATACTTGGCAAGGTAGAAGACAAGAATTTATATTTGATCATGGATCGTTAAAACTTAAGTGACAAACCGAGCTAACTGAAAGTCATGGGTATCTTGAAGATAACTTCAGGGATAGGATCTGGGGGGAGGGAGGAATGTATCATAAAGAGTTTTAAGGAATAAATGACTGATGACAAGTGCTGCAAAGGTTAAACAGAAGTGCTAAGAAGTGCTACCAGTGAACTTGGCAGCCTTAAATTACCTTTGAAAAAAATAACATTTCAGCTGAGTGATTAAATGTGAGGGCTGAAATGAAATTGCAGTGAGATGAAGAATGAATGAGAATATGGGGAAGTAAAAGCAGAGATTTCTAAGAACTTAGGAAATGAGCATTAAGAAAGCCAGACTCAAACAAAAGTTGCTATTGTTTCAGCACCAGAGACTTGAGATGTTTCATGTAAAAATATGGTTAAATAAAAATTTCAAGAGAAAAGACCTTTGTAAGGCATGGGGATAAAACTGTTGGTCCAAATAAATTTTCAACACTATATTACAAAAAGTATTTGTGATTTCCTTCTGAGTCTGCACACTTAACAGTCTTAATACAATACTAGTGAACTATAGACTGTAGATTTAACATTTTTAAAACATAGATGCATAAATCCTAAGTTTYAAAATGTATAGAGGGATCCAGAGTTTAATATTTTAACACCGCAATTTTAGTAGGCAGATCACAGTAAAGAAACATTAGTAATATGTTTTACTTTTAATTTTAATTAACATAAATTCTATTTGCCCATATTATGTTCTTAGCACATTCACATTCCTTGATTGGGTATGAAGTCCAGGAAGAGCTGAAACAGGGAAAATAACTTGATAAGCAAGATGCTTACTTCCCTTGTTCTCTCAGTAGAGAAAATACATAAGTCTCTTAACTTACATGACTTTTTCATGAAATAAGCAATGCATTCTAAAACCAGTAAAATTCTGTTTACATATCAAAGCAGTTGCAATTCAGGTGGGAGAAAATACAAACTATTTTACTATTTCAAAGATCTAAAATTGATCACATCATTTTTTAGCAGCCTAAATGTATTTTTAAAAGAATGGCACTTTTGTCCTTCCTTCCTGAGACAGAAATAGCCCCTCTGTAGGGGTAACAGCAGGGGTATTTACCATGGCATTCCAACCATTTATACCTAACTAAAGACCTTAATCTTTAACTTTCTTTTTCCTATTGGCATAAGTCAATTTTTGACCATTAAAGGAGGGGAAAGGGTTCTGAGATTGAAATCACTTTCAAGATTTTATGGTCTGTTGAAGACAGAAAAATGAGAACTTCTTGAGATGTTAAAATTGAATAAAATATAAAATATAATAATTACAAAAMAAAGGTAAAAAGATGATGGTTATCAAATATTTATTTAAAGGTGGAAGACAAGAAAAATTCCTCTCAAACTCCAAAAACAAATTTTGCACCTTTACTAAATGTAAAATGTAAAATGTTTGTTTGTTAGTTACAGGGGATTTTTAACCACTGAGTCACATCCCCAGCCCTTTTTTGTATTTTAGAGACAGGGTCTCACTGAGTTGCTTGGGGCCCTGCTGAGTTGCTGAGGCTGGCTTTGAACACATGATCCTCCTGCCTCAGCCTCCTGAGCCACTGGGATTATTGGCATGCACCACCACGCCTGGCTGCTAAATGTAAAATGAATTTTGAGATATGACTGAAGGCAGATTTACCAAAACAGTGCTAATTTATAACTTACAAAATCTCATCTGCCCTAAGTATTTGGGGGGGGGGGGGACCAACAATTTTACACTTAGAAACACTAATGAAATACCTTAAGACTTAACCTAAGAAATAAATCCTTCCTAACCTCAATGACAGCCCCTTTTCATGGAAACAAACATTTCCAACAGAGAAACCCATACATACACGCGTGCGCTCACAAGTGTTGAGCTAAATCAACCTAATCTTTATTTAAGATCAACAGTCTTCAAGACAAGGAAGATAATGAATATATGGCTTTAGGAAAGTCTGCAACTAAATATCACAAATGTTTCTTTTGCTAGCTAACCAGCTAATTTGAGTGTGGAATATATATTACTTAGATACCTAAAAGGGTATAAACAAAATTGGGGGAGGGAGCACTATAGCAGATACCACTGAGGTATTTAAGTTTTTATGTAAAGGGCTGTGTATCCATTTGATAATTTACACAATTATTTATTCTATATAGCATATGACCATTTAGAAACTATATCTTAAGAGCTTTATTGTTCTGGTCCAAGAAGTTGGAAATAAAAGCAAAAATCATATTCACATAAAGACCTGGAATGTACTAACTAGAAAGCCATTAATATAATGCAACATTAAAATAAAAATTTGTATGGAACAATGGTGGTCAAAAAGTTCCCAGACTGCATCTGAAAAGGATACTGAAATTATAACTCATAAGTCATGGTACATAAGCATTATTCAAGGTGTAACAAGGCTGTATTTGATATCTTGAACCCACTTATTTACATATTCTTCACTTCCACAAAGATAAAAGCATTAGCAACTCAATTTTCAAATTATGGGTGAGTTTGTATGCTGCATTAAGAAACTATATATATAAACCAATAACTATAGTTATTTTGGATGTCTTCCTCTAAAAGTTTAAGACTCATTTATTTGGGGAAGATACCCCAATGATATTTTCTTACAGTATGACCTCAGTATATCTAGGTATATGCTACTAGAAAACTGGAAATAAACCATAGTTAAATAAATCACCCTTCAATTAAAAAACAAAGTTTAACCATATCCCTTCTTATTTTTCAATACTAGTTTGTTAAGAACTTTTGTCTCCCAAAAAGGTAGGTGCAAATCCCTAAATTTTGCTTAAAACAGATTAAACAGGTAGAGAAGATGAGACAGTGACATATAAAACAAACCTCTATTTACATTATCATGATTTATACCATCCTATCCCATGAAACTTCCCATGTTGCAAACACTGATTTCCTATAAGTCATCAAGATTGCCTGTGATATTGCCCACCTTTTTATTAAACTGGAGGCCAGAACTAATATCATTGTTGCAGTTAATCTTTATTTGTTCTAGTGAAATACCTTTTTCTATATGGCTTCTCCCTAACTAGACATATGAGAAGTTTTGATGGGTACCACAAATGAGGCCAGGACAGAAACCACTGAAGTAAAAATAGCAACATCTCCCAAAAGGCAGCACAAAGAATCCTAACTGAAAGTCATCAATAAAGAATGGGCCCATTATAACATAAGAGATATGCAATGAGCAGAGTTCCTTACACAATGAACACATGAAAGACTTCTGTTTGACTTTTAATTACAAAAGTGGAAGCAGTCTGAAATAGTGCTAAAGTCCATCTTGAAAGATACTTGTCTTACTCATCTTTAGTTAGGCACTGGCAATCCTGTTTCCTACCACAATTTACTTTCTAGATCTTCTTCAGAAAAGGAAGTACACCAGGTTGTTTGCCTTGCTAGGGTAGGGAGGGGATCCTGAGAAAGATGAGGTAACACAGTATTTTGTTATTGGATCTCTATTTATGGCAGTTGAGTCATTGTCATTGCCCTTATTTTACGATTTTATTTTTGCCATATTTTTCTCCCATTCTGCAAGAAAAATGCAAAAAAGGACTTTAATTATTCACAACTAAATATTCTGTAAAAAATTTTTTACTTAGTTACCATTAGTATTATAGCACAAGTGCTTACTAATAAGAAAATTTTCTAAACTTCTTATTCTGTACACAAAGAAAATTTATGTTAGGGYTAAATATTCTGGCCACATATCTCATTAGTTAGAAGGATTAGACATCATTAACATATTGTTTCTCCTAACTTTCTAAATTGTTTCTATAACTTAAAATTGCTTTCTTAATGTTGAATATAAATATTTTAAAATGTATTCCAGGAAATAGGGATAAGAAGTTTCACATATTCATCTTATTCAGCAACTTAAGAAATTGTGCAAAATATGATATACATATATACATTCCCATATATAACATACACATATATAGGATTTTATAACTGAATCTTGGTTTTTTGAAATGTTTGCACAGTGTGGGGAGTKTAAATATTTACTAGATTTGAATACATATATTTGTACTCCTTTACCATTCTAAATAGTTATATCAGCAGAGAGGAACATAATATATAAACAAATGACTTAACTGAATTATCAGTTTGTCTTCGCAGACCCAACAGAAAACATTTATTATTATGAACCTTTATTAATTGGCTCACATTTCAGTATAAATCACACTAAAAAGATTTTTAAAAAGCTAATTACACTACAGTGCTGACACACCCAAAATGGGGGGGGGGGTAGTTGGTATAAATAAGCTGTATGGAAAAGCTTTAAATTGTCAAAAAAGAATTCTGGCTCATATTACTAAATAAATAAATAAATATGTAGATATATATGTATGTTTATATACATATCTACATATTTATTTATTTTAATGTCAGCTCCATTCTAAAATCTACAACTCCAACTGAAATGGATTTTTTTATAGACTCCTTTATGTTTAAACCTGCAATGTTTACAGTGCATCTGGCCCTAAGTGCTTTATACTTCACAGTTATGGACAGGCACTGAGGAATGTTACAAAGCTACATAAACTATATTTTGTAACAGACTTGAGAGCAAGTCCTTGGCTTGCTTTCAGAATTCATGAATATTTATTACATTATTATTTTTTTTAAAAAAAATTAAATGCTATGTACAAATTTAGCACAAAATGTCATCATCTTTTCTATCTTGATTTGAGTGTGCTGAACTAAGTTGCCTTGTATCAACTAGACTTATGAGACTTCCAGGACACAGTTCTTCCTTTAATTCTTTGCTGCTATTTTCAAATTTAGATTCCATGTCAATCTTAAATTCTGTAAACCGAACATGATCCAATTTTGCTTTAACATTCTTGCCATCCATATTATTCGATGCTTTAGTCTTTTCAGAAATATTAACATTCACAGGTTCTTCTTTGATTCTTACAGATGAAACAGGTTCATGTTTGATCTGCGATAATTCATGTTTAGAATGAAGTTTTTCTGAAAAAACAGAATCCAAGGAAGTTTTGCTTACAGCACAAATCATGTTGTCCGTGTGAGGTCCAAGAACTGATGATATGGAATCTGGTGATGTGGCTGTTTCATGAGTAGCTGTATTCTGAGATGTGTCCTCCTCTGAGTGATATAATTTGAGCCGAACATGCCATGCTAAACTGCATACTGCTGAAACTGTCTTGAACTGATGAACGACATTCCTTGGAATAAAATAAATGTCATTATCATAGAGCTGAATCCTGGCATAGCGAATGCCTTCTCTCCTTAGTTGATTAAGTTTTGCATCATCAACCCACTGGACGCACTAAAAAAAAGAAACAAGGAATGCATATAAGCATTTTCCACAATAAAACCTAATCTAAAGATAATAATTATTTAAAATATACCTGGGACAGTGGAGGTTCATGTAAATCTAACTGCATTCGTTGAACTACTTCTAAGAAATCTTCAGCATGAAAACAAATTACATCTTTGGTTATTCGGGGTTGATCAGGCCTAAGAAAATAATAATAATTCTGTTTTAAGGCCTTAATAAACTCAAAGCAAAAATAACTGTGGTCAACATCAAATATTCTCTTATATTTCTCTTTTCAATTGTAATTGAAAAAACAATCTATATATCTAAACAAAGAGTTGACAAACAGATGAAAAGCAATTCACTTCATTTTATCATAGCTGTCATGAGATTTTTAAAAATTAAAATGATTTGCATTGGTAAATTATGCAAAACAACTCTTTCATATTAATGTTATGATCAATATTCTATAAAAGTTGTGCTAAATTTGCTAATAATAAAAACTTGATGTTGGGGACATTATATTAAGTGAAATAAGGCATGCACAGAAAGACATATATTGTATGTTCTCAATTATATGGGGAAACTAAAAAAAGATCAGTGGTACAGCTGGGAAGTGGGAGGATGGAAAATGGTAAGAAGACTGTTAATGGGTACAAGGATGCAGATAGACAGAAGGAATAATTTCTTATGTCTAGAGCACAGTAGGAACTATGGTTGACTTTAAATTTAATAGTATATCACAAAACATCTTTTAGAAAGAAACAATGTTCCCAACACAGAAATGATAAATGTTTGAGGTGATTACCCTGTTCTATCACTGCATATTATACACATTTACTCAAATATCACATTGTACCCCATAAATACATACATTTATTAAGAGTCACTAATTTTTTAAAAAATTAGAACTATGGGAGAAAAGGAATATTGTATTTCCAAAGAAGATATAAACTGCATTAATGCATAAAAACCTTAAGTAATGCTTAATAAATTGATAAGATTTTCATTAGAAAAATACTCATAGTTCACTGGCATCATCACTGTCTTAAAATATAATTTTTAAAAATCCCCAAATTCTTCAATTATCTAGGAATATACGAATATAGTTTTACATAAGGTGCTCAAAAATGGATTTTGAATTAAACTCCAAACAACATAAATACAAAGAAAAGTTACACCAAAGTAAATCATAAACAAATTTCTAAAGAACTATGGCACAGAATATCTAGAAGAAATGCACTGGATTATACATAGGGAAAGAGGATAATCTGTCACTGTATTATATAGACTTCCCATCGATGATAATACAAGCCAAAAGAGAGTGAATTAAAGTATTGGAAGGAAAAGTCCATCTAGAATTCTGTACCCACCAAAAATAATATTCAGAAATAAACATTTTCAAACAGACAAAAGTTAAGAAAAATCTGTCACCAGAAGACCAGCATAACAACGAATATTAAAGAAATTTCTACAGGCTGAAAAAAATGACACTAAGATGAAAATGCAGATCTATGCAAAAGAATGTAAAGCACACATAATAGTAAATATGAAAGATATTTTATTCTCATTTTTTAAATCTATAGAAAATAATTCCTTAAAGCAAAAGTAATAACATAATGTGGGGTTTACAGTATATGGAAAGTAAAATATTTGACAACAATTAGCATACAAGAAATGGGTAAAGGGGAAATAAATGGGAATATACTGTTGAAAGTCTCTTACACATTAAATAAAGAGATATGACATCATCTGAAGGTAGAGTGTGATAAATTTAGAGCAAATAAATAAAACAGAGCTATTGCTAGTAAGCAAACAACAGAAGTAAAATAGAACACCAAAAAAAGATAAAAGGAGCCAGGCACCATGGAACATGCCTATAATCCAGCGGGCTGGGAGGCTGAGGCAAGAGGGCTCCAAGTTCAAAACCAGCCTCAGCATCTCAGTGAGGTCCTAAGCAACTCAGTGAGACCCTCTCTAAATAAAATACAAAAAAGGGCTGGGCCTGGGGCTCAGTAGTTAGGTGCCCCTAGATTCAATCCCTGGTACCAAAAAAAAGTCAAGAGAAAAAGGAACAAAGAAGAGAAGCCACAAATGGGAAAACCAAGATGATAAATTTAAATCCAAATTTTAATATTAGATATAAAAGTTCTAAATATTCATATTAAAAAACAGATTGCCAGGCTAGGGTTATAGCTCAGTGGTAGAGCACTTGCCTATCATGCATAAGGCACTAGGTTCAATCCTCAGCACCACATTAAAAATAAATAAATAAATAAAGGTATTGTGTCCATCTACAACTAAAATTATAAAAATTTTTAAAAAGACAGATTGCCACTGAATTTGGAAGGAGAAAAAACACCCAATTTTATGATATCTACATGAAATAACAATAYAGACTTATCAGCTAAATTTTAAAGAAAAAGAACAGGAAAAGATATGCGAATACAAATCACAGGAAAACTGGAGTGACTATATTAACATCAGACAAAGAGGACTTTAGGTTAAGAAGGATTACCAAGATTAAAAAGAGCATCTTATAATGATAAAATGGTCAATTTACCAAGAAGGAACTCTAAATGTACAGTTATTTAATAATAGAGCTTCAAAATACATGAACAACCTTCAAAACATGATGCTAAGTGAAAAGCTAATCATAAAAGACCAAATTGCATATAATTCCATTTAGATGGAACATTCAGAATACATGCATACAGATTAAAAGTAGAGTAGTGATTACCCAGGCTAGGGAAGATGGAGAAACTGGAGAGGTATAGTATTAAAGGGTACAGAGCATCTTTCCATACCCTTTAATGTCCTGCAATTAATCATTAATAATTATAATTAATGTTCTATATAACTGTGATAGTTGTAAAATTTTGTGAATATGCTAATAACCATTGTCTTGTACACTTTAAATAGATGATTCATAGCATATGCAAATTGTATCTCAATTAAGCTGTTGCAAAAGAAAAATATCTGGAGCAAAACCAAGAAAAACTGGAAGGAGGAATAGACAAATCCAGTGTTATAGAGTTGGAGATTAACAAGTTGACAAAAATCAATAAAGATATACAAGACTTTAACCATACAATCAACAAACCTGACTTAACATTTCTAGAGCACTACACCTCAAAAATCAGCCAAACATATATTCTTTTAAGTGGACATCAAACATTAAGATAGTTCATAAAACAAACTCTAAGAAATTAGGAAAGACCAAAATCATACACAATATGTTTTATTACCACAGGGGGAATTAAATTAAAAATCACACAGAAAAGTTATGCTAATACAAATCATAGGAAAGCTGGAGTGACTATATTAACGTAAAACAAAGAGGACTTCAGGACAAGAAGGATTACCAAGAATAAAAAGGGCATCTTATAATGATAAAATGGTCAATTCATCAAAAAGGAACTCTAAATGTACAGTAGCCTAGTAATAAAGCTTCAATATACATGGAACAACTTTCAAAACACACACTCACACACAGCTAGGGTATAGCTCAGTGATAGAATGTTGCCTAGCATACATGAGACCCTGTTCCAACTCCAATGGTGAAAACACACACACACACATACACACACACACACACACACACAAAAAAAAAAAAAAAAAAAAAAACCACCACCACACACTCTGGGAAAAAAAAATAATCAGACATTAGAAATTAAACAAAACTCTTCTCAACAACCCATAAGTTAAAAAAGACATCAAACAAAAAGTCAGAAATATCCCAAACTGAGTAAAAATGAAAATGCCAAAATGTGTGAAATGTAGCTAAAGCAGTGCTTAAAATTTTAAATACTTACATTAAAAAAGAAAAGTCTCAATTTAATCATGTAAGTGTCCAACTTAAGCTACAAAAACAAATTATTTTTAACTTTAAAGAATAGACAGCAGAAACAATGAAATGGAAAACAAAAAAAGTGAAATAAACCACTGTATGAAAAKATAAATAAAATTAATAAATTCGAGTATGACTTATAAACACAAATCACTAATATTAGCAAACTGAATCCAGCACTAAAAWTTATTTTATATATTATACATATTATGCTGTATTTACCACAAATACCATGTGTATCTTAATATAGGCATATAAATATAGGTATGTAAGGTTACTGTATATATGTATTGGTCACTCTATATTTTATTATTTTTCATTATATGTGAATATCAACATTCACAATGTCACCAATTCCCCTGACAACTGCTCTGCTCCAGCACTAGGTATTTAATCCAGGGGAGCTTTACTACTGAACTACATCTTGGGTCCTTTTTTTTTTTTAATATATGCTCTATGACATATACAATATTATGTTCTCTATATATACATATATGCCATATATTTTATCTAATATGTAACATAATATAAATGATATTATGGTAATGCAGAATAACTAAGAGGTTTTTAAGTCTAGAAAACAATAACAGAATAATAGAATTACAGGGTCTTTAGAAAATCATCATCATCATCATCATCACTTATTCTAAGTTTATATTTACCCCCCACCCCCCAAGTACCAGGGATTGAACCCAGGGGTGCTTAATCACTGAGCCACATCCCTAACCCTTTTTATTTTTTTATTTTGTGACAGTCTCACTAAGTTACCTAGTGCCTCACTAAATTGGTGAGGCTGGTTTTCAACTAATGCTCCTCTTGCTCTGCCTCCTGAGTAACTGGGATTACAGGCATGTGCCAGTGTGCCCGCCTATATTTGCTTTGATAAGACACATCAAACAGTTCCCACAGCAACATAATGAAAGTTCTGGTTAATCTCCATCCTTGTCAGCTTTGGCTACTATTGGTTTTTATCACCCTAAGCTGTTTTAATGGCTGTATTGTGTTACCTCATTGTAGTTTTAATTTGCATTGAACATTTTTTTAAACGTTTACTAGTCCTTTGTTATCTTCTTTTATAAAATGTCTATTAAAACCTTTTGCCCAGTCTTGCCAGGCATAGTGATGCATGCCTGTAATCCCAGCAGSTCAGGAGGCTGAGACAGGAGGATTGTGAGTTCAAAGCCAGCCTCAGTAAAAGCGAGGCACTAAGCAACTCAGTGAGACCCTGTCTCTAAATAAAATACAAAAAAATAGGACTGGGGATGTGGCTCAGTGGTCAAATGTCCCTGAGCTCAATCCCCAGTACCAAAAAAATTAAAAATTAAAAAAAATAAAACTTTTTGCCCAGTTTTAACTGAGTTCACTATTTATTTTAAATTTTAAGAGTTCTTTATATATATGGATATGAGTCATATAGATAGATGACTGGCCTGTAATTTGCTTTTTCATTTTCCCAAAAGTATCATTTGAAGGACAGTTTTAATTTTGATAAAATCCACATTTATGGGTTAGGGATACAGCTCAGTTGGTAGAGTGCTTCCCTCACATGCACAAGGCCTGGGTTCAATCTCCAGCACGAGCACCACCCATATCATTTACCTGATAATGATGATTTGAGTTTTTCTCAATTTTTAGTTTTATGAATAAAGTTGTTTTTTTACATTTTTAATATTTATTTAATGAAATATTTCATTCATATGAGYATACAGGGGCTGGAGATGTGGCTCAGCGGTAGCGCGCTCGCCTGGCATGCGTGCGGCCCGGGTTTGATCCTCAGCACCACATACCAACAAGCATGTTGTGTCCGCCGAGAACTAAAAAAAAATAAATATTAAAAATTCTCTCTCTCTCTCTCACTCTCTCTCCTCTCTCACTCTCTCTTTAAAAAAAAAAAAGAGTATACAGAGTCTAATTGCCCATTAAAATACAAAGATGTATAGCCACCACTCAAGAAATATAGCAATGCTATAGTACTAAAATGACATCTCACCACTATCAAGGTAATCTCTATTCTGAAATAATAAAGTTGTTTTTAACATTTACTTAAAAGTCTTTACATGGATATATGCTTTCATTTCTTTTCAGTAAATACATATTAATATAATTGCAGAGTGTTAGGGTAAGGCAAAATAACTGTACATGGAGAAAACTGAAAGTTTTTTTTTTAAAAAGCGGGCTTGGGTTGTGGCTCAGCAGTAAAACGCTCACCTAGCACGTGCGAGGAGAGGGGTTCAATCCTCAGCACCACATTAAAACTAAATAAACAAATAAAATAAAGGTATTGTGTCCAATTACAACTAAAAAAAAAAATAAGCACCAGAATTAATGATCAAGTTTACCAGAGTGACAGGTGAACTGTATTTCTGTGTTTAGCAGCAAATATCTGGTAAAATTAATTTTAGGCATATTTATAATTCTGTTAATAAAATCCTAGACTAGGCAAAACTAATCTATAATAACAAAAAGTAGACTAATGGATGTTTGGATGTCTGGAGCTGGGAAAGGATTGAGATGATTAACTGGCAAAAGATATGATAAAAGCCAAAGATTCTGTACATTATGGGGTAATGACAACATGAGTCTACACATTCATCAAAACACATCAAAATGTATATTTTTTTTACGGAATGTAAACTATACTTCAATAATGATGATGATTTTCTAAAGACAATTTCAAAGAAACAACCTCCAAATATATGTCTATAAAGTCGTATCTTAATAAGGCCTAAACACTTATATAATTTGAGTAATAATTCACAAGGCTTGACCCTATATAGTTGGAGATTTCTTTGTAGTCTTTATCAATACCAATCTTTTACTTCAAGTTGATCTTAAGCCTAGCTCTTAGGTAGTCAAGAATTTAACATCCTAAACCAGGCACAGTGACACATGCCTATAATCCTAGCAATTTAGGCAGCTGAGGCAGAAAGATTGCAAGTTCAAGGTTAACCACAGGACTTAGTGAGACCCTGTCCCAAAATAAAAATAAATAAATAAAAAGGGGTAGTGATGTAGCTCAGTAGTAGAGTGTCCCTGGGTTTAATCCCCAATACTGAAAGGAAAAGGAAAAAAGAAAAAAAAAATCCAATACCTTAATAGTTAAGGTCTTCTCAAGAAATGTAAAAATTTCCTTTGTTTAATAACTTGCTTTAACATCAAAGAAACAATAAAAAAGAATATGCACCCATCTGCATCACAGCCACTACTATAGTTTGGACTATTAGAAGGTAGTAGAACCTTTGGTAGGTGGGGCTCAGTGAAAGGTACCCCAGTCTTCTTCTCTGTTCCCCAGTTCATGGGGTAATCAATTTTGTTCTGCCACATGGTAGTACCATCATGTACTACTTTACTATAGTACTAAAGCAATGGACTGGAAACTAAATCCATAAGCCATATTTCCTTGTATATTAATTATCCCAGACATTTACGTTGATGGAAAGCTGATTAACACAGCCATAAAGCCCTCAATAGTATTAACAAAATTACTTTCTCTTTAGTATTAAGAGATTAAAAAGCACTATTAATGTGAGAAGCGAATTATATTTTTCCAAAGTGAGAAACTTCATAGCTAGCAATATCTCACTCATTCCAAATCTGTCTCAAGAATATTCTTAAATCTGGTCATGTGACATGTTAGTAATTTGACAGTAGTCCTTTTTTACTATGAAATTTGTAACCACAAATGTAGTTTCTTATTCAATAAATGTTTATTGAGATCTGTGGTAGGCCTTTGAAACACAGGATTTAATCTGTAACTTTAATTTCCATATAAAGGGAAAGAAAGAACACATACCAACAATAATTTAAAACAGCCTTGAGAGATTTTTTAAAAGGTGCTGAGGGCTTTAGAAGCGAGAATATTTATCTCCAAAAGGAAATATATGTGGCTGATTTTATGGAACACTATTTACAAATCAGATTTTACCCTAAGAAGATATTAATGCCAATGTTAAATTCTTTATCTGAAACATTTGAGGAAGACATCATTAATTTGAAACAGAAAGAATTTTTACGGATTTCCACAGAGATAAATTTGTCTTTATTCTTTGATAAAATTAACATTTTAAACTAGATAATAGAAAGGGCATAGAAACTATAAAAACAACCACAGTTATTTGAAAATTAGCATTTAAGCATAACTCAATGAGGGGCTGAGACTGTAGCTCAGTGGCAGAGCACTTGCCTAGCATGTGTGAGGCACTGGGTTCAAGCCTTAGCACCACATAAAAATGAAACAAATAAAATAAAATAAAGGCATGCTGTCCATCTATAACTACAAAAAATAAAAATAAAAAAACACAACTCAGTGAGAATTATGAAATACTTAATATTTTAAAATATTAGGTAAAAATACTTAATATTTTTTTCCTAAGGATCTTAGAATCAGTTCTAGATCCTAGTACAAATCAATATCAGATACTTTGTATACCTGAGATTGATAAACCTTCATTCCTTTTATGATCAGTTTACATTGGCTAGCTTCTCTATTTAATATTAATTTATAAAATATTACTACAAATTTCTCTTTTTAATTAAGTGTCAATCTGGCATAAGTAATCCTTGAAAATAATATTGCCCTATGTGGAAAATACAGGTTATAATTTTAGTAAGACCTCAGAAAACTACACAACGAATATTTTATGTTTTCAGAATGAAAAATGGTTTCTTTACTTAGAAAAGTCCCCTGTTTATTTGCTATCTGATTCCACTGCTTTAATAAGAAAGCATATTCTAATTCATGTTTCATACCCAAACAATACTCAACTTGACAAATATCTAGGGCTGAGGGTGTAGCTCAGTGGTACAGCAATTGCCTAGCACATGTGAGGCACTGGGTTATACTCTCAGCACTGCATAAAAATAAATAAAATAAAGGTATTGTGTCCATCTACAAAAACAAAAAAAATTAAAACTCAAATATAAACAAACTTATGTATAAATATAGCTATAGTATAAATATAGCTTTGCTATTTTTGCTATTTACTGAATGAAAAGTTACATAGCATATGTATAGGCACCTTAAACATATTAAATAGAATAATCTACATTTAATCTATCCAAATATTTCTTATTTTTTATTCACCAGAGGCTGGGAAGAGCAGAGGGGAAGGAGGAGATGGAGAGGTCCATGATCAAGTACAAAGTTATAGTGAAGTCGGAGAAAAAAGTTCTGGTGTTCTATTGCACAGGAGGGTGACTATGGTTAACAATAATGCACTGTATATCTTGAAATAGCTAGCAGAAAGGATTTTTCAAAGTACTCACCATTAATGATAAGTTTAAGGTGATAAATAAGCTAATTTCCTGATTTGATCATTAAACAGTATATACATGAAATCAAATATCACATTTGTACCCCATAAATATATACAATTACTATGTATCAATCAAAAATAATAAAAATAATAAAGACCAAAAATATTTTAAAGAAAAAGAAATTCAAAGTGAAGCTTGTAAGCAAAGCTGAAAAAAAATCAGAGACAAATAATAAACAGATATTAACTTAATAAAGGAAGCAATAAAGCAGAATAGTAAAAAGAAAACACAAAATCCATCTCAGCTCTACTACTTCTAAACTAGAAGACTATAAAGAAGCTGTTTGACAGCCCTGAGCTTCAGTTTTCTTTTGTCATAAAAATGGGCCAAAAAGTAGTTGAGAAACTTAAGTAAGACTACATTTACTTAAAAAAAAAAAAGACTACATTTATAAATGGCCATATAGTAATACAAAGTAAATCTAATTTTCCTTTTACCCTAGTGTTTTTACCTTCTACCCATATAGAAAATGAAATTATTTAACTCAACCAAATGACTACAGCTAGAATCTAACAATTTAAAACCTTCTTTAAAGCAATGTGAAATTAGGATACCCAAACACAGGGAGGGTAACTAAAATTCTTCTTTTCCCCAGTATGGAAAAATTATTAAGAAAGTTTCCAAGAAAAATTTTAGAAGCCACAAAAGTCTTTCATTAGAATAGCAGTAGTTATATATACCACTCTCCACAGTGCACAGCCTTCAGTACTCCAACAGCAGCTGTTGTCTGTCGTTCAAAACCTTGTCCTATATGATCTGCATGGGCCCTTGTCCTGTCTTCAAAGAGCATCTCACGAGGCTCACTGGTTCGAGGTAGGTACTGAAGGTTTTTTATTTCATTGGTAGTTCTGTTTTTAAAAAAGATTTATATTTATATACTGAAGCTTACTTGCCATCAAACATTCAATAATCACATAATTTAGATAAAAGGAACTTTAAATTACCTGTTCCCAAATTAAGTTCTAATTTTTAAATGGATGAAAACACATATACAATACAATCCCCTCCTTGTAATATACCTTCACAAAAGTCACAGCTATGAAAAAAAAAATTTACTTGGATAATAAACTGAATTACAGATGGTATAATTTACTGAGTTTCCTTATATATTAGTCCCCTCTTGACAGTGGTTTCACATTGTCTCAGTTAATAAACTACAGTCAACTGTGGTTTGAAATATTGTGAAATTTTTCATAAATAAATATTTCCTTTCATAAGCAATGAGGAAGCAGTAGAGATACAGAGTAATGGCAATGATAAAATAGCAGCAGATACTTTTCCTAATATTTGGAACAAGATGGATATTCAAATACTAAAGGTATTTAGAACCCCAAATAGACAGGATCAAAAAAAAAAAAGAACCCTCCACAACACAATGAAATTAAAATGCAAAAAATACAGATCAAAGAAAAATTTTAAAGCTACAAGAATGAGATGCCAGCCACATTTGAAGGAAAAACAATCCTAATAATATTGGATTTCTCAATGTAAACCCTAAAGTCCAGGAAGACTTGGAAAGATGTATTATGAACCCTGAAAATAATTGCCAACCAAGACGGCTATATCCAGCAAAGCTTATCTTTCATAATCAAGGAACAAAAACTTTCCAAGATAAACATAAACTAAAGGAACTTATGACTACTAAGCAAGTATTGCAAAATATAGGATCCTTAAGAGAATCCTATACACAAAAAAGAGAGAAAGAAATAACTAAATAACCAAGAGAGAATAAATCTCATTAGAAATAAATATGCAATGAGAATCAGGATTAAAGAAAACATTAGAAATAAATCAAAGTGACAGAAATCCTCCAATTAAAAGACAGGCTGGCAGAATGAATTTAAAAAACAAGATCCAACAAGAAACAAACCTCACAGGCTAAGACATCCACAGGCTGAAAGTAAATATGGAAAATTATATCCCAGGTGAATGGAATCCAAACTGCTAAGTATGGTGGCATATGCTTATTATCCCAGCAATTTAGGTGGCTGAGATAGGAGAATCACAAGTTCAAGGCCAGCTTCAGTTACTTATCAAGGCCCTCAGCAACTTAGTGAGACTCTGTCTCAAAATTTTAAAAAAATAAAGTAAAAAGAACTGGGAATATAGCTCGGTGGTAAAGAACTCTTGGATTCAATCCCCAGGACAAAAAAAAAAAGAAAAAGAAAAAGAAAAGAAAACTGAAAGCAAATAGGAAAAGCTATTCTCATAAGACAAAGCATACTTCAAGATAACAAAAATCACTACATATTAGTAAAGGGAACAATCCAACAAGACAATAATGATAGTAAATATATATACCCCAAACATCAGTGTACCTAAAAACATAAAAAAGAATATTTGACATAAAGGCTCACTTAGGTCCCAATATAATAATAGTGAGTTCAATATACCTGTCTCATTACTAGATAAGTCCTGAAAACATAAAATCAAGATACTACATAGCCAATCCCCCCAAACCAAATGCTGAATGTTCTGATTTAAGGAGGCTGATTCATAATCGGGTTGGAGTCGGGGGGAGCACAGGAGGATTACACAAACTCTAGATATGGCAAAGGGGGGGGAGAGGGGAAAGAAGGGGATATGGGGGTAGAAAAGATGGTGAGATGAGAGGAACATCATTACCCTAAGTATATGTATAAAGACAGTAAAGGTATGGCCATACCTTGTATACAACCAGATATGTGAAAAATTGTGCTCTGTGTGTAATATGAATTGTAATGCACTATGCTATCATATATAACAAATTCAAATAAAAGTAAATAAATAAAAATTTAAAAAATCAAGATACTACAGAGTTAAATCATACTATATATCAAGTGGATTTAACATATCTATAGAATATTTCATCTAATATACTTTCTTCTCAGCTGCTCATGGAATTTTCTCCAAAAATGAATATTTTGACCTCAAAGCCAAGTATTAGAAAATACAAAAAAAAACCCTCAAATAATTCCTTATATCTTATCAGATCATAATGGAATGGAATGAAATTAGAAATCAACAACCAAGAAAAACTATAGAAACTATATAAACACATGGAGATTGAACAATATGTTTTTTGAATGATGTCTGGGACATTGAAGAAATCATACTAAAAATTTTAATATTCTTAAAATAAAATGAGAATATAAATACAATACACCAAAATCTCTGGGACACAGCAAAGACAGTTCTAAGAGGAAAGCTTTTAGTGATAAGTGCCTACATTAAAAAGTCAGAACAGGGCTGGGAGTATAGCTCAGTGGTAGGGTGCTCGCCTCCCATGTGGAAGGCACTAGGTTCAATCCTCAACACCACATAAAAATAAAATAAAGGTACTGTGTCCACCTACAACTAAAAGAAGATTAAGAAAAAAAATCAGAACATTCCCAAACAAACAACCTAGTGATAAATCTAAAAGTCTTAGAAAAACAAGGGGAAAAAATCATTCTCAAAACTCTAAAGAAAAAAATAATATCCAAGCCGAAATTAATGAAATATAGGACAACAAAAATCTCAAAGGATCAATGAAACAAAGAGTTGATTCTTTGAGAAGATAAACAAGATTGATAAACACTTCACCAAAATAACCAAAAGAAAGAGAAAAAAAGACCCAAATTAATAAAATTAGAAAAATAAAAAAAAACAAGAGCTATTTACATTAGATGCCACTGAAATTCAGAGGATCATTTGAGACTATTTTGAAACTTGCTTTCCAATAAATTAGAAAATCTGGAAAAAACAGATAAATTATTCTAGATATATATGACCTACCAAAATTGAATAAAGAGAACACAGAAAACCTAAACAGACTAATAACAAACAATGAGACAGAAGCAGTAATAAAATAAAGCCAGGACCAGATGATTCACAGCCAATTCTACCAGACCTTGAAGGAAAAAAAAAAAAAAAAAAAACTAATGTCAATGCTCCTCACATTATTCCAGGAAACAGAAAGAAACACTTCCAAACCTACTCTCCAAAGCCAGCATGACCCTGATACTAAAACCAGATAAGGATCCTCAAGGAAAGAAAACTACACACCAATATCCTTGGTGAACAGATATAAAAACCCTTAATAAAATATTAGCAAACTGAATTCAACATCACGTTAAAAGATTATATATCATTATCAAGTTGGTTTCATTGCAGGAATGCTAAGATGACTCAACATACGTGAATCAATAAATATACCACTTAAATAGAATCAAAGACAAAAATCATATAATCATCTCAACAGATACAGAAAAAGTCAGACAAAATTCAGCACCCATTCATGACAAAAAAAAACCTTGAAGAAACTAGGAATAGAAGGAAATTACCTTGACATAAAAACTATATACAACAAACCCAAAGCCAGTATCATACTGAATAGAGAAAATCTGAAAGCATTTCCTCYAAATGAAACAAGACAAGGATGCCCAACTCACTACTCCTATTCAATACAGTACTAATTCTAACCAGAGAAATTAGGCAAAAGAAGTATTACAGTTTAGATATGAGTTGTCCCCCAAAAGCTCATGTGGGAAATAAAAGAATAATGTTCAGAGATAAAATGATTAGATTATGAGAGCTATGACTGAATCAATAGATTAATTCACTGATATAGATTAAGTGGGTGGTAGCTTTAGGCAGGTAGGATGTGGCTGGAGGAAGAAGGTTACTAGAGGTATATCTTTGAGGTTTATATTTTGACCTGATAAGCAGATATCTTCCTCTGCTTTCTGGCTGCCATGTCCTGAGCTGCTTTCCTCTGTCATACTGTTCTGTCTCATTTCAGTCCCAGAGCTATGGAGCCAGCCAACCATAGGCTGAATCTCTGAAACTGTCAGCCAAAATAAAACTTTTCCTCCTCTAAGTTGTTCTTTGTGGAGCAAAGCTAACTAATACAGCAAATAAAAGGAATACAAATAAAAAAGGGAAGAAGTAAAATTGTCCCTCTTTGCAGATGACCTGGATCCAATACTTAGAAGAGAATAAATCCTCCACCAGAAGACTTCTAAACCTTATAAGCAAATTCAGCAAAGTAGCAGGACACAAAATCAACCTATGAAAAGCAACAGCTTTTCTACATACTAGTAATAAATACACTGAGAAAGAATTCAGGACAAAATTACAACAGATTAAAAAACATACTTAGGAATAAATCCAACCAAGGAGGTGAAAGATACCTATGAGGAAATTTACAGAACATGAAGAAGAAATAGAAAATGACACCAAAGGATGGAAAGCCCACCTGGGTTCATAAAGACAGAATTATTATTGTTAAAATGGCCATACTGCCAAAAGCAATCTGCAGATTCAATACAATCCTCATCAAAATACCAATAACATTCTTTACAGAACCAGAAAAAACAATCCTAAAATTTATATAGAAGAACAACAACTACAACAACAACAAAACAGAATAGCCAAAGCAACTCTAAGGAAAAAGAGTAAAACTGGAGACATCACAATATCCATTTTCAAATTATACTACAGAACCATAGCAACAAAAATAGCATGGTACTGGCATAAAAGCAGACACCAAGACCAATGGATCAGAACAGAAGGCACAAACTCACAGAGGTACTACAATTATCTGATTCTTGACAAAGGTGCAAAAACTTATGTTGGGAGAAAAGACAGGCTGTTTAACAAATGGTATGGTGCTAGAAAACTGAATATCCATTATGTAGAAAAATTAAAAATAGACCCCTCTATCTCACTCACACACAAGTCAACTTAAAATGGATCAAAGACCTAGGAATTTAGTCCAGAAACTTTGCAACTGCTATAAGAAAACATAGGATCAACATTCCAACATACAGGCACAGGCAATGATTTCCTCCACAGTACTCCTAAAAAGCTCAGTAAAAACAAGGAT